TAATTAGCTAGTAGCTAACTTACACACAGTTAAAATGCCTAAAACTAAATGGTCTAAAGTGTGCCTGTATTTCATTCAAAAAGATTCTGACACAGGCATGCTATGTAAATTTGTTAAGTATTTTGTATATATTTGAGCAATAACATATGTGAAGTAGTGCGATTGTACTCCAATATATCAAGGCTATGATTCAGTTGTAGGCACGAGGCCACATGCAGAGTGCAAAAGACAATCACAGCCGTGATATATTGAAGTACAACCGTACTCATTCTCATATGTTATTGCTGTTATACAACAGTTCATCCAGTAGCATTTACAAGATAACAGTAATAAGATACAGTATATTTTGTTTATTTATTTAAGCATTTATGGGCCTCCACAAAAAAAAAAAAATAGTTCTCGTAACGTCAGCAAAACATGGCACAGGCTATCGCGTCCAAACCTTCTTCATACCCAGCAGAAAATTCAGTCCATGACCGATGTAGTTTTGTCTAAATATCACTGGTGCTGGCAGTGAAACTACTAGCCAGCTTATTAGCAGAATAACTTTGCATTTTTTTTATTATGTAGAAAACAAAAGATAGATTTACTAATAAATTAAAACTATGCCGCAGGTCTAATAAATAAAATATTGTGACACTCGAGTGGCGAAGGGATCATGAGGTGGACAGCAAAGTTCAGTTATTGGAATACTCTTTTATTGCACAATCCTTAAAAGGACAGTGGTAAAACAGCAAGTGAGAATAAACAACAAACAGATGGGGAGCCTTTAAGAAGACAAAAGTGGATATGGGCAGGAGATAAGTCATACTCTGGAAACTTTCTCTTCAGTTCGGCAGCTTATGAAAACTTAAAATCTGAAAAGTTAATCCAAAACTGAATACAGAATAACCTTTACTTTACTCTCACGTCTGCTTATGTTCATTTTTGAAACAGGTGGAAACGGGCAAGTTCTTGAAAGGTGTCAAGCAAGAATCAGCCGAGCACCCTGAACCCTGTAGTGGACACCAGCAGTAAAGGGATCTGTGAGGCTGAACAAGGAGGCCTTCAGGGCTTGTAAGCTTGTGGGACTCCAGAAGCAGCTGAGTACCGGCAAACCAAGCATGAAGCAGCTCTGGCGGTTGCTTAGGCAAAAAGTCGGGTGTGGAAGGAGTTTGTTGACACTTTTCACCTGCCTCAAGAAGGTTCTGGCAACCAGCAGGTGACTCAGGTGGCAGGTGGGATATAGCCTCCTCAGCCTCCCTAGAAAGGTACATGCCATGGTACTGGAGAGGAGGGTCTGCCCATTAGTCAAACCTCAGATCCAGGAGGAACAATGCAGATTCCGTCCTTGATTCGCTACACTGGACCATCTCTTCACCCTCACAAGGATACTGGAGGGCTCATGGGAGTTTGCTCAACCAGTCTACATGTGTTTCTTGGAATTGAAAAAGGCATATGACCATGTCCCTCGGGGAGTCCTGTGGGGGTTTCTCCAGGAGTATAGAGTATGGGGTGTGTTGTGGCTGGCCATTAGATACCTATACAAACTGAGCAAATGCTTGGTTTGCATTGCCAGCAGTAAGTCAGACTCAAGGGTGTTGGACTTTGTCATTGATTCTGTTAATAACTTTCATGGACAGAATTTATGGCCTAAGGGGCGGAGGGGGTCTGGTTCAGGGGCCCCAGGATTGCATCTTTGCTTTTTGCAGGTGATGTGGTCCTGCTGCCATCATCGGGCTGTGACCTGCAGCATGAACTGGGGTGGTTTCCTGCTGAGTATGAGGTTGGCTGCGATGAGGATCAACAACTCCAAGTCTGAAGCTATGATTCTCGGCCAGAAGAGGATGTAATGCCCTCTCCTGGAGCAGGATGAGTTGCTGGCTCAAACAGAGGAGCTTAAGTATCTTGGGGTCTTGTTCACGAGTGATAGAAAAAGGGAGCGGGTGATAGACAGACGGATTGGTGCAGCTCCGATGGTAATGCGAATGCTGTACCGTTCTAGTGTGGTAAAGAGGGAGCTGAGTAGATTTACGTTCCAATCCTCACCTATGGTAATGAGTTCTGGGTAGTGACTGAAAGAATGTGATCGCAGATACAGGTGGCCGAAATGAGTTTCTTCAGCAGGGTGTCTGGGCTTAGCCTTAGAGATATGGTGAGGAGATCAGACATTCGGGAGGGGCTCAAAGTAGAAAGGAGTCAGTTAAGGTGGTTTGGGATGGACATGGTCAGAAACAATGCTCAGGTAGGCCGTGGCATTTAAACGATGCCCAATTGGCACTAAGGGGTCTAAAGTGTGCCAAGAAAACATCCCCCACACCAGATTGTTTAACAAATCTGTTGGAGTTTTTTGAGGAAGCTACTCAGGAAGTTGATGATAAGAAGGC